TCAACACAGGGTTGTTCAAAAAATTGCGCACTTCCGTAACACTGTGTCATCGGGCGGTGCCCCAGACAACAAGAAAAATGTAAAAAAAATCTATCTCTAAAAATTCCGAAGTTATGAGAGTTTAAATTTTGCACTATGACTCTATTTATTTCTGTTTTTTCCAAGTTTTTTTTGCTAGAGGCTATTAGAAGAGGAAACAAAGAAGCTGTATCCTAAATTGTAATTCAGTTTAGTGTTATTTGTGGCTTTTATTGAAAAAAATTTTGTACCTTTAGTAAATAATTATAAAAAAACATATACAAGATCATCAGTATCATTAAATAGACTTAAAAAAATGTCAAATGTCAAAAAATAAATGTCAAAATTTTTTGAGAATTTTTTAAACATTTTTTCAGTATTCTGGGGGACTACCCAATTACTCCCTTTCAAGGAAGTGCGCGATTTTTTGAACACCCTAACTATTTTTTAAAATGTGGTGTGTAACACTTATTTTTTTAATGACATTAAACAAAGCTCCATGACGCCATAACAGCTTCTAGGTTTTTTGGTAGCTTTTTAATATGTATACCTACCTATAGAGCGAATAAAAATATAAAAGCATTTCTCACAGTCGGAGAGAAGTGGACTACATTTTGAAAATTATTTTGTCAAATTTTGATTTTTATTCCATCAGTAATAATTGATATTTATTTGAGACGGACCACCAACAACTTCTAATTATGTAATAGGTTTTATGTTGGTCATATTGTCGACACAAATCTGTATTAAATTCCAAAATCCATCTCTGTCGCTCGTGCATCTCTCCCGCATTTACTCTAAACTCTTTGCTTTCAGGAAAAAATGTTGGTGAAAGATAAATTTTACTATCTACAGTAAAATTTTTGACAAAATGTGAATTCTATTTACATATATACATAGTTTTGTTTTAAATACTTATTGTCTTTGTTGAGAAAAAAAAGAAATTAGTTGGTTGCTCTCAAAAAAAAATGCGAAACTGAAGCACTTTAATTTTATTTTTTATCTTTATTTGTTCAGGGTTGGCAAATTATGAACGAATGGACGAACGAGCGAAGGGAGCAGTTGCTATTGAGTTGAAATAATTTGTGATTGCAGAAAAGTGCTACCAAATCAGTGATGAAAATGTTGGAAGGTTAGTAATTATTAAGTGAGTATACGGCTCCGGGAATGCTTAGCGCCGTGAATTTATCGGTAACCTGTAGCCGGCGGGTGCATGAGAATGAACTGTCAACCCTCCCGCGCCTCAAAAGGGAAACTACTGCTATTGTGTTCCGTAGCAATGTTCTCTTTCTGCTCTTGTCAACTTCGGGGCATATCATCTAATGTGACTTGTTGGTTGTTGCCGACTATATTTTAAACCGAAATTTATTGTTCAAAAGAGCGAATTCAACAGGAGAAAAAGCGAGCCTTTCAAATTACTTGCAAATGTAATAATGGAATTTGTCGTGTTAGTTTTTTGCCGGATGAAAAATGTGGTGAAGAGATGACACTCGGGCCATCTATCAAACCTACTCATGAGGAGAACGCAATTCGATGACTTTAAAATTCGTACTGGCGAAACAGCATGTATCAAAACTTTTTCTTGTATAAACCGATCTTATTGAAATTTGTACCACGCGCAACGGCATAAATTGCTTTTCATGACGCACATACCCACACAAAAGTTCGGATGGCGGAATAGGGTGGCCAATATCAGCCAATATCGGATATCAATACACAAAATGCTTCTACAAATTTTATACACTCAATCCGATTTTCTCAACGGGGGGCATCGAGCTTAAGAAGCTTGTCTAACGCAAATACATCAATATTTCAACCAACGCCAGTTTCTAAGTAATCCTTATTATAAATATGTATTTCCATCACTAGCAAAATACCAGTATGTATACATTAAAGTAATGTGGTAATATCTCCCGTGAATATAGTTTTGTTTGTTTTCTCATACAGTTTGCAGGAACGTCGAGAATAATTCAGAATCTCGCGCACATTTATACCGCGAAATTAGTTTAGTTTTGTGCACTTTACGTGTTATTAGTTTATTAAATTAATCAGTTTAATAAAAAGGAATTATCATCGAAAATAAGAGCATTAAAGCGAAAATGAAGTAACAACCCTACATAATGAAACATAAATTAAGTGTGGTAATAAAAAATATTTCTAGACTTAGAAAATATTGCCTCATCTTTGATTTAAGTTTTGGACTAAAATTGTTGAATTTAATACAAGAGTAAAGTTTCCATTTCTTAACTAGGTGCCGCCATCTACAGCCCAGTGTATAAAAGCCCGTGTATCATACACCAACAGCAGAAAACTGAACCACCAATACATACACCATTATACGTTAGTTCATCTATGCATTATACTTCCTCACTTTCATATGCTCCTGTTATTTAAAATTAAAAGTCGGGGCAAGTTGGGACACGGTTAGACACTTGAAAGTTATTTCTGTAATTTTTGCATCAAAACACGCCGCAAATTGTTTGTATGTACAAAAATGTAAGTAAAAGTTATTTAAATAATTGGAATCATGGGTTTAAGGTTTTTCGTTGAAAAAATTGAAAATAAAAATCATTTTGAAGAACTGGTAGAGGGACTATGTTAGATGAGTATGTGGTGTACGAGTATTTAATTATTTATTCTGTTTATCAATCAGACGAATAAAAAATAAATAACGCAGTTAGTTTTTACATTATGTGACACAATTTATACAGAGTGTTTTACATAATTTTACGAGGCCTGCGCCTGTAAGATGTAATCAATAATATAATAAATACAGGGTTAGTCACAGGAGAGTTACTTCTGAAATAATTTGGGCAGCAACCCATTATACAATTTACGTAGTAAATAGTCAATTTTCGTTAATACAATGTATTATTACACAAATAACGAAAAAGTAGACACGCTCTTAATCCATGGAGAATGCAAGAAAAATGCTCCTGCGGCAGCAGCTCTGTACTTGGAAAGGTATCCAAATCGAATGCATCCGGTTCCTGAAACATTTAGAAAACTGGAAGCCAAGTTACGATAAGATTGGCCCCCAATGAAAAACACCGTCAGAGGACTGCTACTGGCCTAGAAAATGAAATTAGAGTCCTTGAAGCAGTAGACAATAATTACTTGTCATTTTGACGACTTCACTCATTTTCATCCAGCTCACATTGATTACTGAATTAATTCAAATAAAATATTGCATCCAGTTACATACGCTAAAGGTATTTTTGGTTGCAAACTAATTAATTTTCAAAGTAACAATCCTGTGACTGACCCTGTAAACGGTAATTACTATATCTTGTTCTAAGGTACTAGATGCTGTCATAGACAGAGGTACTGCCATCATATGTTTTTGACACTGACAGCGGCTTCTTGACCTTGAAAAATTACGTCAACATTAAATGTCATAAATGTCAATTTCGGCGGGAACTCTCCGGAAACATTTTATAAATAAAAAACGTTGGTTGAACAATTCATATTACATACTTTTATACATCGAAACAACCAAGAAATAGTTCAGAAACGTCTCACAGGTTGGTCAAATAAAGGTAAAAGTGGCAAAGTGTAGTAATGGTAATGTAGATAAAGATGAGTATGGCCCAGTTCACAAAGTCTGTGCGTGGTGGCTTGTAAATAACTTTCAAGAATTTTTGGGCAATGGTTTTCTGAATTTAGATGCGGTGTTGCGCTAAGATGTAAATACACATAATTCTGTTTTTTTTTGATAAATACTGCAAAAATGTTTCGGAAGAAAAGGAATTACGAATGAAAAAGGTAAACTATGTAATACTAATACATACAGAGCATATTCGTATACTCTCCTATATCTTTGAATCTATCTGTCTTCTGTAATCTTTTTAGCCACATATGTACCTTAAAGAGTTTTGAGTTTCTATGCATTGAAATGTTTGAACTATTTTGCATGTTTATAATATTATTTCATCTAAATTGAGGCAAATTAAAGAGTTTTATCTTTGAGTTGCGAGCTGTCAGAGTCAAAAACATATGATGGCAGTACCTCTGTTTATGACAGCATCTAGTGCCTGAGCTTGTTCCAAATTTGGTGGCGAACTGACGATGTCAAAAATGACTGAATTTTGACACTAAACATATGTTTACTATTAAATAAAATATATTGTTATATTTATTGTTATATATATTGTTCACAGGCGTCGTATGAAATAATATTTCACAACCACTGTTATTCTTTAAACAATTATAATAAGTAGGTACTCGTACATAAGATGAAGAATGATGAACAAATTATTAAATTGTTAACGCATGAAAAGAATTTTCAAAAATGATATTCCTGTCTTCAAAATTTTTAGAGAAAAAAAGTAAGCCCATGTATTTTTTTATCTTAACCAAGTGGACGCACTCCAAGTGTCTTTTCTGTCACTGTCAGTTCGCCACCAGATATGGAATAAGCTCTAATTACCATGTCAAAATTTTTGTAAGAAAATTAGTAGCACAGATCGATTAGCAGTATAACTAATGGGTGTTCCACCAACAAAATCTATTTTTTCTACACATTTGGCGTGTTTTATGTAATCAATAAATTTTTTATAAGTATTAAATAAACCTAATGGTACAGTATTCAATATTGCCACCCGTTATTTCTTGCTACATACAATATTAAGGCATTTATTATTGAATATGAAATGGACTAGAGCTGTAAATCCTGAATATAGTATTTGCAATTAATGTTATCAAGTCAAATGATTTAATTAATTTAGTATTTATAAAAAAGTAAGCTAAAATCGATTGATTGTTTCATTATGATCCGATTACACATTACGCATACTACGAAAAAACATGAACTACTAGCACTATACAAGTACAATGTGGTTTACTCATTTGCGATAATTAATCTTTTATGAAACATAAAGTTTAGTGTATTTTGTTTTTAGATTTAATAAACACGAGAAAATGATGTATGAAAGTTGTGAGGCATTAAGGAAGAGAATTAAAATAGGGCAAGTTTATTTATTTACTTTATTTGTAATAATGATTGGCACACATTCTTTAGAACAGAAGGATTATGGCGACGTTTGTACAATAATAACATGTTTTGTAAATAAATATAAATCTCGAAATATACATAATAGTCGGTAGTTATGTTTTAGTAACTTTGTAACAAACTAAATGAAAATTACAGCTTATTTTGCTTAAGAATGTAACTTTGAAGCCAATGATCATAATGATGAGATTCGTTTGCACTGCATTAATTGATGTAAAGAAAAAAATACTGAGATGTGACAAAGAGTATGTGCTTTACTTGAAAAACTTTAGCTCAATAATACTCTCAACTATTTTTCATTTTTCTAAAAGTACATTACTTCTGCAATCATATTTTATGTACAACAGTGACATCTTTGGTAAAAAAAATATCGACAAAATAGGTACTGCGCTATATAAGTAAATAATGAGCATTAAATAATTTACAAGTTACCTATCTAGTGAATATTGTTACAAATCAAGAACAGCTAAACAGTTCGTTGTTCAGCGGTATAATTAATTTTATACTATTAAAAATTTGATGGTGTTTGATTAGACTATCTTATCGTAATATTTACTTTGTGCTAAGTACATGTTTTTTCTTTAATATTTAATATTTGCTCAAAAGTAACACCCCAAATTGTTGGAGCGCTATACAGCGCACATGTCGCAGGAACTAATTTACATTTAATGGAAAAGTTACATTAATTATTAGTCTCATTTAACAATATCACAATTTTAATATTGCAATAATTTTAAGTAGCTAGATATGCTTCCATTACTTAATTTAGATGTTAATATGTAAAGCTTGCGTAGTACAATTCTAGCAAGCCCATCGTTCATTTGACTAGAGTTTTGGTAATTATGCTCAAGAAACAGAAACAGACATTACTGAACGGACTACTAAAATGCTGACACCTGTGTTTAAAACGCACTTCAAAGCAAAAGCCATAAAATTCGAACAATTTTATAATAATTATGCTACAACTTGCGCTTAAAACGATTGTGATTGTACTATAATATAATATAGTTCTTTTGATATTAAACTTTGATAAATATACATCTTTTGATATATAACATCAGTTAGGCGCCGAATGTGAATACTTGAACGGGGTTAGAGTTGCTACATTCTAGTAGTCCAGCATCCGTATTTGATTGTGTTTAGTGTAACATCATCATAACAAATGTAAAGCTGGCGAAGCCTAGGCTGAAACCTGGCTACGGTACTAGGAAGACACTTGGGATGAGGCCTAGCAAGCAGCCTAGCTCGGCAGACAGAACACTCATAGTGGCCGTAGGCTATTGCACAAGTGGCTCGCAAGTGTCCAGGAATGTTAGACCGGTCCTCGAGTGGAGCTTTTCAGCCCCCTGGCGGCGTTTGTTCAGTCTTGTTGCCCCCCATCGAGTCACTGACGTAGACGACCCCAGCACTACTATTAGCCACTCGAAGAGCTGCACTATATTGTTTAGTAAAGTCACTGATTGCCGTTTCGGCGCCACCACCAGAGTGTCCCTTCGCACCGGCTTTGGTGGCCACCACTCCGTCAAAGCCCACTGCGTGCGTATCGTTACCGCAATGGTAATTATAACTGCAGCAAAGCACTCCGTCCTGCGAAAACACCAAAACGTTAATACTCTACACAATCCTGAATCCGCCCACAACCTGCGAACGCAAATTGTGAAGGAATTCGCTCATGGGGGCTCAGTGCTAGTCGGAAAATCGTGACTGTGCTCGTCTATGAGTCCCGTCCCACAATAGACTTGGTGAGGCTCCGCTGAACACCACACAGGTAGTGCCCAGCAGCGGCCGAAAATCTATTGCTGCATTTTCACTAAGACCATGCACATTCATCATTCACCAAACTCACTTTTACTAAGAGAGAAGTTAGAGTAAGAAGCATGCATGTAGAGCAATACACATCTATAGAGTGCTCGGTAAAAAATCTCTGGAAACTACTATACAGGCAAAACAGGCACTACTAGAGGTGTGTATAGTTTGAGTGTAGTTAGAGTGACGTGATTACCGATGCACACAACACGCGACATTGCTCACCAGTTCCGCGCAGAACGGCACCTGGAAGGGAACGTAGTGTTAATTGTTAGTATAGCCTAGCTATTGACAAGCCAGCCTGGGCTCTATGCAGCGGCTAGCCATGCTCTGAGTTATAACACAGCCCAGAAACACGAAAGTGACAATAATACTAAAAGTTTCACTCTCGTGTATCTTGGAAACCACGACCACCTTTCGGTATTTCAAGCACTTAAATCGGCACGAATGTTAAGTAATGAGATGACATGAATGTTACAATGTATGATGCTAAAGGGTAACACATGTAAGGCTCTCTATCTGCGCAACTATTGCGCTGAAAATGCTCCAAGCAATTATGGAAAATCACAGTACCTGCTCGACGAACGAAACACTCAGACCACGACAATCATTAGTTTAAACATAGCCCTTTTTTCCCATTCTACTCACCTTGCAGTTGCAGGAGACGCAGGGATCATTAGGATCGGCAAATTGCGCCCCCGATTCATACATTCTGCCCGCGAAAGTGCACGGTTGTCCCCACGTAGACGCGTTTCCCAACGGACACAAGTCGTCGCAGTGGGGACAACAATCCCCGATGGCTTGAACAGGATTGTCACATAATAACGGCGGACATTTCATCTCCCAGCAGTCAACTTCTCCGTAGAGACACTCGCAAGTCTGGCATTGGTACGACCACTGCTCGCCGTGCATGAGGATAACATCGGTGAGCTCTTGGTGCTTGCAAGCGTGCTTCTTGTCACATTGGGGACAACACGGATTTTGGCTACTCCCAGGAAGGGAGCAGTTGCAGTGAGGCTTGTCGCAGGTAATTACTCCGTGGTTGCAAGTGCAAGTTTGGCAAGGATCTTTCTGAGGCGATAAAGATAAGCCGTGGGCCAGTTCCGTGCCTTCAAACATGCAGCTTAAGCGACAGTCTTCTTTTCCTGGAGGACATTCGCATCGAAAGCCTCCGTTGAGATTCACGCATTGAGCAGTCGGGTGACAAGTGTGCAATTCGTCCACACATTCGTCGATATCTGCAAAAATGAAATCAACAAACCTGTGATAAAAGCGTGATTGTAGTACCTTGGCATAAAGTTCCTAAATTATTGTCTGAGACGGGGCTCTGGTAGCCCTCTTTACATTTACAGTAGTACCAACCAATCATGTTGACACAAACTGAAGCTTCAGTACATCGATGGGCGTTGGTAGCGCATTCGTCCAAATCTCGCTCGCAACTGGAGCCAGTGTAGCCGTTAGGACAAGCGCATTTGCCCGGACTCCTGCAGATTCCACCATTGAGACAACTTTGGTTACAAACAGCTGCAATCGAAAAGTAATAATAGTCTTAGTTTACTTAAAAAAGTAAACAAGAAGACTCTTACGTTGGCAGTTGTAGCCGTCTCCTGTGTATCCTTCCTTACAAACGCAATGATAACTGCCTTGGGTGTTGATACAATCGGCGTTGATGTCGCAGTTGTGTTCACCTGAGCTGCACTCGTCCAATTCCGCGCAGTTGAATTTGTCCACTCTTCGATAACCGGCGAGGCATTCGCAGGTGTAAGATCCGGGGGTGTTGACACAACGCGTATTTTGATGGCAGTGATGACCTTCGAGGCCGCCTTCTTGCTTGCACTCGTTGATATCTAAATCGAAAAGAACTATCAAATGACGAAATTTCGTTTAGAATTGAGTTAGTTGACAGATTTTATTTACAATGAGGTTCATACCAGTGCACAATCGTCCATCCCCTTGAAAGCCTTGGTCGCACTGACAAGCGTAAGTAGTTTGTAAGTTGAGGCAGGTTGCGTTAGCATGGCAAACATGCCCTTTTGCACAATAGTCAACACCTGTTAGGGATGAAAATACACGCACCGAGGTTAGTTTGTTAGTAAAGCAAATGAGATTTTAATAATGAAACATTCAAATTTCGAATTCAGTTAATTGAAAAGAGTGAAAGCAGTACCTGGGCAAAACTTGCAGCAGTTATCTGCGACGCTAAATTGTTCGTCTGGAGGACACGTGAGCTTGGGGCACATCGTTTCGGGATCTATTCTCGTACACTGCATGCTGCCGTCTTGACATTCACACTCTACACACTTCTTGATGGTCACTAGCTCTCCATGGTCGTAAAAAGCACCATAAAATAGACAATGTCCTGTAAAAGAAAAAAAGAAATGAAGGAATTGTAAAGAAAAAAAATTTTGTCTTTAACTTACTAAGACAACTTTGGCAACACTCTCCGCTGATGTTGACTGGATGTTTGCAGGGCAGCTCCGGACACTCGACGGGCCGACATTGAACTTCTCCGTGCTGTGAATCAACGAGAAAGTAAAAATCGAGCGGTAACAGCAAGAAAGACGATAAAATTCAAGGAATTGACTGCCATTATCGAACGCGGTTAATCGGTTAAACTAGTTCGGTTAATCAAAGTACTACTAACCACGCAAGCGCATAAATCACAGCCCCGTTGCCACGTGGCGCCGTCCGCATGCACCGTCCCGTTGACGTGGCACGATTTCTGACAGTCACATTCCTCCACTTTACTGATACGTCCCTCTGCTGCTACCAACTGCAAAACACAGAATTATATATAATCAAAACAGTGTACAGAACGCATAAGTGACGTTACATGGTAGTCCATATACCCTTTCGGAAAGTTCCTGAAGATGCCTTGTCAGCTCCTGAACGGTGTTCTGCAGCAACGAGAACTGGCCACATGTGGGGCACGTCGAGTCCAGGCTCGGGCACAGCGACAGATAACCGTGGGGACCTCCTATCAGACGAACGTCCTGCATGGCTCCCTAAAAGAGAAAAAACATCTATAGTTCAAAGAATAAACCTTCATTGACAATCAAAGAGATGTGCAGGAAGACAAATCAAAGAAAAAGGGCAAGAAGAAAATTTTCCTAATTGCAGACTTCTTCTCAATTTTGAAAGAAGCAAAATTTTTCTCTTCATTAAACTTTTTAATTCCGGTCATTTATATCACTTATTGCGACCTCAAAACGACATCGCAAAGTGGAGGAACACGATGACAAAAAAGTAATCGATACATATCCAAGTCACGGAATGTAGATTTTTGCTTTTCCAGTCAATGTACTTTTTGTATGACCTCGACATAATGTGGATAGGTCATTCGTTACCTTTTTCGCAAATAAATAAATAAAACAACTTCATTGAATTCGGTATAAGGCTTCATGTTCATTAAGCGAAATTTATCAGATGGCGTGTATCTAATCGGTGAAATTTCTACGGTTTTTATATAGCTGACAGTAAAAATGGTTTTCAGCAAAGTTCAGGTGTTTGATAAGATGTTAATATTGCGATTATCATGAGACATCAATTCCATTAGTACCATTTATTGTAATTATTTATAACTGTAAGAGGAGTTGGTTTTAGATGTCTCATATTATTTCTAAGTTGTTCAAACGTTCAGAAGTTCAACCTTGGATACAAGTAGATTTTACTAAAAGTTGGTTTCCAAAGCATGAATTATCAAAGAAAAACCAAGATTTTCTTAGCCTACGATTTGAAATTGTATTTAAATTCTAAAACCACAAAATTATATCGATTTTCAGTAAAATTAAAAAGTTTGGGTGAAACATATTTATATAAAAAAAGACAACAAAACAGATAGTTTCCTTTGGCTCCTCCAACTACCTATAGACTGAAAGAAACATTTGCTAATACGATAACGACAAATTATTATTGATGTCAGTTTGAGTTGGAAATCAGTTTGTTGTAATTTGAGTTGAAATATTCACGCTCGGGTAAGGTGCTCCAGAAGAATATTTTTTATTTACAATCATTATCGTATAATAATCAGATTACCTTGCATGTGAAAAATTGGAAAGTATGATATTTCAACTTCATTTAGCAATTGTTATAAAAAATCAGATTCAGGTTAGGAAGTGGTCACTTCCTTATCAGTTGATATGTAATATGACAATTCAGGTTGGGAAATGGCACTTCCTTACCCAAAAACTGATAATTGACCACTTCCCAAATTGAATTGTCATATGTCATGTTTTTAAAATTTGATCAATTCTTTATTGGCTTTCTTTTCTTCAAAGAAGATGATTGTGAATAAAATAATATACAAACTTGGGTGGTCCTTGCTTCACCATACCTTGTCTTTATTGCTAATTGCGGCGCTTCGCCTTTTGGTCATCAAATTTCGCCATGGTAATGAAGCACCTTACACTTCGGTATGTAATCTACTATTACTAACTCGAAAAGTATTCGATTGTTATAAAATATTGATATTGTTTAGTTCATACACTATAATACCTCACTGTAACACTTTAATAAAAACTCAACCCAAAAATTCTCACACACAACTTAGATTTTGTTCTAACGTGTGTTTATTTAAATTTGGCGTCTAAGCTATCCATGAAAATTTGATTGTGAACGTATCGTACGGAAAGTTATTAATCTGACCTTTGGCACCTCGCCGGGCGCATTAAAAATTGTGGTCCGTTCACAATACACTCATACCACCGCCAACTATTACGCCTTTAAATAAACACCCGTTATTTGAAAATTTTGAATTATTATTAAAATCAAAGTAGTTGTTGAATGACATCATTAAATTTGACAGTACCATCAATTACATTTTATTGTTTTCCCTTGGAATTCAAAATGAACTTGTTTTCCTCGATTTGGTTCGATTTTAAACCACAGGCAAAATCTTGTTGAAACACGCTTAAAAGTAACAAAAATAAATCAAAATTGATGTTAGTTGGTTTGTTTTACTCGATTTATATGGTTTTAAACAAAATTTAGTCAAATAACGGGTGTTTTTTTAAATTTGGCGTCAAAGCTGTCCATGGAAGTTTGATATGAACGAACCATCGTATTAAAAGTTATTTATCTGACATTTGACACCTCGCCAGGTGTATTAAAAATTGTGGTCTGTTCACAATACACTCAAATCTCCGCCAACTATGACGCCAAATAAACACCCGTTATAATCTAAAAACACAAACCAAAAGTCACAAAATTAAGTTAAAAATTATACAATTTTTGCTTTTTTCGAGCGATTTAGCGCAGTTTTTTTTAGATAAAAACTCAATTGTGTTGCAGAATGTTTTTTCCTACGAACCTAACAGAAAGTAAGTTTTTTCACCCTAATTTCGGAAAGGAAAGTACCTCTCTAGGGGGTAAAGATGTTACTTCCCCCATAGAAACGAAAAAACATGCTGCTAGATTTGATGGGGAAATTGGGATATCTAGAGAAATTGTTAGTTTTGAAGTTTTTCTCGCTGAATCGTAGGAAAAAATTATATGTATTACACTGGAGGAAAGTGTCTTTTTCTCCCTAGGTGGTTACTGCCTTAGACAAGTCTCGGATTGTAACACCTGTGGGAGGAAAAGGTACACTTTCTTCTCTTGTATACATATTAAAAGTCTTCCCTTTTACTTTAAAAAATTCAAAAATCGTTTTTTTTAAACAACTGGTAAATGATTTATAGGAGAAAGCTAAAGAATGTGTACTAAAACGTATATTATAAGAAAAAGCATTTTTTATTTCATTTTGTACTCAATGTTAAAGAGTGCTTTTATTAACTAATTTCAGTAGGTAAAGTAGTCTTTTATCGTCTAGTAAAATACAGTAATTTTTATCTACTGTTTATATTCTTTATTTGAACTTACACAAGAATACATGCTTAAACTAGTAAAGAAAAGAACTTTGTAGAAAAACCATCAAACCAGCATGAAGCTGGTTGGTGCAGTGTTCAGTATGTCCAATTTTCATAATTTTTATTTAAATGTAAAAAAATATGATAGACACAAGAAATTCTGGTAGGTGAGTACAAAATAAAACAAAGTATTATACACGTTGATAAATATTGTTTATCTTTATCGTCTTGTATAATAAATAAATAACTATTATTTTATACATATGTGAAACACGGGAAAGAATTATTCTTCCCTTGAATGCATTCGCCTTTCGGAAAGAAAAAAATAACTTTCTTCACAAATAACAATTTTTTCTTATTTTTTAACTGTTTATTTTTTACAAAATTTACAGTTATTTCATGTTGCAAGACACATTATACATATTTATGAACTTATAATATTGTTGCAACCACAACATTTTTCAAAGATAGAACGACCAGCGCCAACTTAGTACTAGATGCGCATCGCACTGTTTGAATTTTTTTTTATTAACTTGAGTCTACATTAGATAAAATCTACTAGCAATATAAAATAATGAGCTGATAAACAACGCTGATAAATTTGCAATTTGGTTCCCTTCCCGAATTAATCATAAACTAAAAAAACTATCGTTGGGAATTAAAAAAGTTGTCTCGAGCGGAAACAAGCGACATACCAAAATAATTCCCTACCAAAATCTCGTGTTCACACGTTAATTTTTGACATGCAATGAATCGCTTCTACTGCTTCTAGCCTAGAAATTTACATAGGCAATTTTTTCTTCAGCGTATTTTCATCAACGTTTGGGCCCTCCAAGGGTCACGTCACCGCAAAATAGATGCAGCTAGTGCATGAAACCTCTTTATGTGAATGAAACATGCACACTCCGATTCCATTTCGATGTTATCACTTTGCTAACAGGACTTACCTTAAAGTGGTAATGCTTGTTTCTCTGGCCTAGCCAGAGCTGTTGAGGTTCGGTGAAGTTCCGGTCCGGCGCACCGGGTCTCAAGAGTCTTTTATAGAGCGGATGGCAATCCACTAGCAGTTCTGCCTGCGAACCACTCACCGACACAGCCACATGATGCCACAGATTGTCCGCGAGTCTGTAATGGAACGTTTCCACGTACACTTTAGAGTCCACCCGCGAGGTATAATGCAGCCGGATTTCGTTTTTCCGGCCGCTCGATTGCAGTTCTAAGTATCTGTTTAAGCCGTGTGCGAAACTCACTATGCTACCCGTGTTGCCCACTTCTTGGCGAAGCCACGCCGCAATCGTGAACTCGGGACTGCGACGCAGCAGGTCCGACACCTGCTGAAAAGCGGCGGCCGGCAGCTTCAGGTCCCGGTAGTCTCCTGCAAAAAAATTTAAATAAAACGCTGCCCTCATCTTCACATTAGAAATAAGCTTTCGACAAACGAAGTTAAAGCTCTCAGGACATCTTACATAAATATGTATACAAAATGTGTAGCTGCTTTTTGTTTCAAATAAAACTTGCACTTAAGATAATTTTGGGTTAGAGAATCGGGAAATGTTGTACAATAATGTCGTTTAAAAAATAAAAAAAAAACTGTACTATTAAAGTTAAATGTTAAGTTTTCCGAAATGGAGCTCCTCACACATCAATAAGTAACTTGGCTTCGTGTTCAAATTGAAGTAAAGACGAATTTAATTTCCTAAAATGAATATTGTTCTTTGTTTTTTCTTAATATTTATAAAATAAAGAAAAATTAGTATTCTTTCGCATCTGTTCAAGAAAGTTTAAATACAATTACTTCTCGGCAAAAAAATGAAATCGACAAACTTCTCTTTATTTCGCTGCAAGTTTTCGCCATCTTCAGATTGAAAAAAATTATCATCAAAATCTAGTTTAATAAGGTGTGAAATTCCGGGCGTAATAAAAACGGCCGAAGTACAGGATTCTGACAGGGGAATGGGAGATAAAGAAAGAATCCCGTGGCCTCTATTCCTGAGGATAAGCCGGCGAGCTATACAAACACAAATTTATGGGGTTCCGAGAAGTCTGATCAATATTAACCTTGCCTCATTCGGCTCAGCTGGTAACGCATGCAATGGTAACGGGGCGGAACGAAGACTACTTGCACACAACCCCTTCGAATTTAACCGCGACCGAAATGCGGTTTCAAACCCCCTTACGTAAGCAGATATGTGGTTGGTTTCGCTATCGGTCAAGACGGATTTTCTTTACCCAGACGAAGATCTGGATTCCAGTTCGCTCTAATTGAGTATTTCCTTCGATTTTTCCGAAAAGTTGTAATAAAGTCGTAAAATAATAATGTTTTGCATAAAATTTTATTGTCGTTTCGGGAAAAATTTGAAATAGATCCAAGAAGTTTACGACTGCAGCAAAACTATTTTTTTAAATACTGTTTTATCGATTGTTTCATATGAATATAAAAATAGTTACTGTGACAATATGTTATTGATTCCCTATGTGTGTACTCTGTTAATATTTACCTATTACGTGCACAAAGCTGCAATTAAGTATTAAAACAATGTTTTTTTTTATTTTTGAGAAAAAAATATGTTTAATTTGTAATTATTATATGATTCAAAACTTTGGATTTATTTAATTTTACTCTCATTCCGCGGAAATTAATTAATAGAATCACGTAGCACAGGCTGGCTTCCGACTTCCTACTAAATGGGCCAGCAAGAAGCTTAAGTTAAGTTGTTAAAAATCGACAAACTTATGGAAACCCTTTTTGAGCTACAAGCTCAAGTCTTGAAATTTTTCCCAACAGTAATTTTAATTTTTAAAAAATATAGTTTCAAGTAGTAAGCCAAGTAATATTTCTTGTGCCCAATCTTGAGTTTAACTATTTTGCACTCAGTTTTCCTATTGAAAGAGACAACTTGATAGATTGGTTATTACGTTGATTTTCCGCAACATTACCAGCCCTAACTTTAGCAATTGCAGTTGAAGGCCTTTGAACACGATAAATACTCCGCCCTGATCCCGAGGAAGGGTTAAAGAGCGTTAACCTGATTTGATTCGATTACATACTTCAATTGGTTTCAGATCAAAGTTCCCACAAGCTTTTAATTATAAATAACCTCCGGACAAAACGGAAACTTAATTAATTCAATTTAGTTCGATGTTGTAACGTGTCAATCAATCTTGTACCTTGCAAATAGTAAGCCGGCCGAATTTGCTGAGGTCCTTGCGCCAGTGTAACGCCTGCCCAACTACTGTTGTGTGAACCCAAGGCACCCAGGAGGTCGATTGATTGATCTGGAGACGTGGCAGACGACAGTAGACCCGAAGGGTCCAAACCGGTAGCTAAAAAAGAAGAACAACAATTAACTAACTTTATGAATCAGAAAGTGCAAATCTCAGAAAGTTTTCATGTGAAAAATTTTAGCCAAGAGCTTAATTGTTCTTTTGGGGAAAAATGGTGATTTCCTATCTGGAAGCAGCTTTCGTTTTTTCACACGGGGGCCAAGCAGGTGTACTCCGAGGGGTTACGTGATTATGTAGAGTACGTAGCGAATAGAATTATGTCGCTTTTATATGTTTTACGGAAGCCGTGAACCCCTCTCCGTGTTAAATTATTGACCAAACGGGGTAAATATGAGTTGGGTCGTATATATATACATACTGGACGTTTTCAATTTGTTGTTTTGTACGTGCTTTCCGTTATTAAATGTCCATCTGGATTATATGGATTGGATCGAAATGACAAAAGCAATTTCGCGCTTGTGATATCTGACACTGATATATTCTCAACTCGGTCACAATAACTGGCTTATTGCTTCTTTTAGAGTTTTAATGCGGTTGACGAAGAGTGCTGGAAACATTCCAATCGGACAATAGGGTCAAAGTTTGCAACAGATTTTTTAAAGCCGTCAGCTGAAGACGCCAACTTGTGTCCAAAACAGAACTTCAATTGAGGATTCAGCTGGCGTGACAGCATAACCGCAGACGAGGTTTGAAAAAATCAAAACTAGCAAAAATTGGTGAAGTTTCACAATTCAGACTAGTAGAATTTTCGTGTCTGAAATCCATTAACCACTTTTTGGAGTAAACAATTTTTTATTTCCTTCAGAAAACACAAAAAATGTCACTGTAGTTACAAATTATTTTACATTTGTTGACCTTAAATATGGCTCAAAAGTACCATGAGACATTCTAAAATTTATTTTATTTACAAATCCTTCTAGAAGAATGCTGTAAGTCCGCATAGTTACCCAATAAGTAATACGTGCCGGCGCGCGAAGCTTTTCTCTAAAGCTCTTGGAAAATTTTATTCTTCTCTTATCTAATCATTATTTATCCTATCAAATATGTATTTAATATTCCCTTTGTGACACTCGTGCCGTCGTCGAAATTACGTGATAGTTTAAAAATAAAAGTCTATGCTTGCGTCTAGCCTGAAATAATGAAAGTGTGTGTTTTATCAGTGATAAGCACGCGAATCCCTCTAGGATCGCAAGGGAGGTCGAGGTTCTTCAACTCGACCACGTAATCGGCCTCGTTGGTTAATCCCTCTTTAATGTCATTATCGATCTTGTAGAAAATTTGATTAATTCGAATGCAAGAGCGTGTTCATGAATGAGGAAAGACGTGCTTGCATGTGAGGGTGTGATACTGCACGTTTTATTACATAAAGTAAAGTCCAGGGATAGCTTTTAGAAATATTACAAGAGATAAAAAGGAATGATTTGTAAAAAATAGCAGCGAATTTAGAACTTCTCTAAGAAAATTAGAATGTAAAAGTAGAAAACAACAATTAAAAAATGCAACATCTTCGACTTTTATCTTGTGAACCCTTGTTTTCCAAAAAATTAAAATTAAAAAAAAAATTAAAGTCGTAAGGTACTCCTGTGGAGTATCCTTTTTCGCATGATGCACAACAGGAAGTCCAACAGGTCCCTCGCGTTCTTCTGGCTTAAATTCGGAAATGTATGTAACACATTTCCATAAAACGAGATGAAAATCGTTCTGAAAAATCCTGTCGGAAAATAGTTTTCATTAAAATTCACCAGCTTTCGGTATGGCAAAAAAGTGGAAGGAGTGAAAGTAATAGGATAATATGAACCAGTTACATCAGAAAAGTGTATCTGGGAGAAGGAGGGCAATGGTCTAGAGTTGTGCTAGACGGAGACGGCGTCTAGATAGGCGCCCGAAAGGCTGGCAGAAGCGCCGCTATAAATTTCGCGTCGTGACGCCGTCGAGACTAGCGGACATTGTCACAGTTACATGTGGAGTAGACGCCGGATTACATAATTCCAATCATCACATTCGAATTTCGACCGGAAAAATCCGATTTTTCGCTTATTTGAGGAGGGCAGTGACAGTCGCTGCACCAGACTAATAAAGTGTGTGCGCCACGACAAGTTTAGTCTATGCCAAGTGGATTATTAACCATTTATCTGCAATATTTATACAGACGTTTGGAGGTGCGCCAAACGCACCTCCGATGAGGTGGCGGACTTATTTTTTCATCATGCAGACCATATGTTTCCAGTTTTCACACATACGATGTGCAGACTTGGAGGAGTAATTTTAGTGGTGTGAGTTATTACACGACTGACATAACACGTTACATGTGTAATCGGCTTCTTTGATTTAAAGGGAGAAGTTAATTAGCATCGTGGGATGTCCAATTAGGATACTCTCAGACCTAATTAACATAAATTTTGCTACATGGCGAATTAAACTGACATGACCCCGAAGGCGACTGGACTTGAGACCCTCCACATGCAAAACCGGATCCTTTTTCACATAAATAGAATATATTATTATATGTTATATGTAATAAAGACATGAATTAGGAAAAAAATGTTTTTCTTGAACACAAACTCGATTTAGTTCTCAAAACTAGCACAACTGAAAAATATTTCGTAAAAAGAGAAATTGTTGACAATTATTGTCGTGTGATCTAACTAATATACTGATACTTGGCACGCGATGTGTGAACACATTCATCAATGAAACATCTCAAATTATGAACCTGTGGAAAGGAAGATAAATGAACACATTTTGCCACTATTTTGAACCTGCAACTAACAACAAGATCCACTTCTAGATTTCTGGCCAAAACATATTTAAGCATCTGGAAGCAATATTCAAACGCAAAATTTACAAAAAAATATAAAAAAACTAAACACTGACACTGTATAAGTTTTGTTCACCACCCTCCAAAATTTTTTTTCGTATAAAGACTTTAATCTTTCTAATACCTCATCCGTGTTACTACATTCTGAATGCATATTCTAGTTTAAATATTTCAAGGGTTGGGACTGTGAGGGTGCGATATAAAATTTTACAAATTACAGCTCTAAATCTTATTTTTGACATAAAATAATCTCTTCCATTGTGTTTAACAGATAAGTTGCAGAAGGAGGATTCCTTCTGCAAGTATCTCCTCAGTTGGACCCCTTCTTTTCAAATACTATTTATTCATAAACGTCACAAAAGTGACCATTTTTATGATTAAATGTCACAAGTAAAAGTTTTTTAAACTTTTGGACAAGGAGTACTTTTACACGTAATAAAATATACTATTTTTTGTACTTTTCCCTTTTATTTTTATAGCATATGTCTGTATTCTCATTTTAGTTTTTCGAGGTCAAAAAATTTTATTGTTCAAGTTTCTCCTTGATTTGAAAATAAAATCCAATTAAGATTTATATTTATAGCAGTTGTAATTCTTGCTCCGCTATCGTGATATGTCATCTGCCAACATGACAAAAATCATAATCATAATTCGATGATTGTTAGACCAAGAAAGAAAAACTGACGAGCCAATAAAATTCGGAAATACTTGTCAAAAGTCAAAAATCCCCTTCCACGAACACGCAATACAAATCGCTATTTTAAGTTTCCTGTTTGGGGTTGTTTGGCGAAGGGAGTGAATGTCAGACCCTTCATTTGTTTACTATAATACTTCAACCCTTCGTCACATAATTCGCAGTTGATGTGCTTTTCACAAGCAAATGTTTCGGAAGAGTTTTTTTTAATTATTCAAGACTTATTACTACCGCCATCAGTATTGTTTGGCAACACATCAGAAGCCGTTTCCACGTTTTAATTAATGTTAGTCTGAAGTTTGTGGCCGTTTTTATTATGCATACATCAGCGCTACTTAATTGCCGGAAAAGTTACTCGCAGAAATGCCTCTTTGGTTCATTCCTGTTTCAACCGGTTCAATACTGGTATTTTTTTTAGAAATTATTATTCTTTGGATGGTGTACCTAATCGATTAACTGAACAATATTAAAAAAAACAGTTACTAAGTTACCCACTTGCTACATTACGTCACCTGTTTTAACCCTCGTCTGTTTTCCATATCAGGAGTTTTCAGGGCGGAAGAAATAAGGGGCTAATTGTCAAGCATTAATAGCACAAAGCGTGCAATCAATGTTGGGCTATACAAAGGAGGAACCCCTAGGGATGGCCTAAGATGCGGAAATCAATATCAAGTAAGCTACTAGACTGTAGCTCGCTTTACACAATCCGCGGTATCGTTAAAGACATTACACTAATTACGGACGCTCTTCCAACCCCCAAAAGACTAGATTTGTTTTTTTTATTCTTTTACTTTGATATCATTGCTCGGAAATCACACCGTAACCGAGCCCAAGAGAAATATTACAGGGTTGACCCACTTCTCAAGGCAAAAAGTTGTTTTTCCGGGCTTCCCGACTCAGCCGTCACCGCACAGATTAGAGCAAATTAATTTATGAATAATGGCCCACTGATTTCCTCCAAACTCGAGACATTTTCATTTCACGCCATTCGCAGATCAGATTAGAATGATTGCATGGTGTTAATTATTTTTGGGTAGATTAGTTAATTTAATTTGGCTCCAAGTGATTTGATTCGAAATAAATGGAAAAAGGAGGGTAAAAAATTCCATCTTTATTGAAATAAATATAATTAAGCAAAGAGGACAAGGACTGACACGAAAGGATAATCAATCATTTGAGGCGGGTGGAAGACATTATCCATTTTTGCATTTATTTCACTCCACGAAATTTTTTGTTTTCTCAGTGATGGAAAGTAAAAACAGGCCCACTTTTATAACTTGGCGGACGATTTGTGCGAGCTAGAGCAGTCTGGCAGTGTGCGACAACAGCCAAGTCGTATTTCGAATATCCGGTCATCAAGGGGGCCGCTAGGTGGGTGTTTCCTATAATAACTGCACTTTTATATATTTAGACCGGGAGTTTTAATCATGGGTGCCAGACGATTTATGACGGACGGTCCACCTCTATTATATTTGCCAAACTAACACTATACACACTCAAGGACATCCGTTTTAAATAGAGCAATTC